CTACTGCTACATATATATATATGCTTCTTATGGTGAGCTATTTTACACGGTAAGTAGCCCAAAAACATTTAAATTCATTCGCTATCTTCTTATATGTGTATGTATGTTTGTGTGTGTGTGTGCGTGTGTATGTGTGTGTGCGTGTGCGCGTATGTGTTTGCGTTGTTATGTTGTTAATTATTAAAAATTAACGAGCGTAAAATTACTAGCAACAAATAAATGAAGATTATTATTAATAATGATTAGGTTATGAATGTTAATTTGGCGTGTAAATGCGTGCGTGCGTGTGCGTGTGTGTGTGGGGTTTGTGTTTGTTTATATGTGTTCACTAACATTACATGTATTGTTAACTTATACACAGATGATTTTTCATTTAAAGTGCCATCCTCAAGAGTTTAAAATGTTCTTCAATCCATTACCATTAGCAACACAAATACTGCAACATAGGGCGTTGAGATGGGGGTAGATGGATGGCCCTGATGCCCCTTCTGGCTGTTGCAGTTACCGGGTTCGATTGCAAAGACATTCTCGTCGATCACATGCAAAGTGTTTGAAGCATTGGTGCACTCCTCTGTCTGTTGTTGATACCTCTGAAAATTTATTAGGAAAAAATTTATTACAGTAACAGCAGAAGTAGTGGCAGCAATAGAAACTGTAGTAGTAGAAGCTGTAGTAGTAGAAGTTGCAGTGGTGAAAGTAGCAGCAGTAAAATTAGCAGCAGCAGTAGTAGTAGAAATAACAGTTGTGGGAGTAATTCTAGTAGGATCAGATCCTATTGCAATAGTTTTATTATCATTAACGTGTGGTTTTACAGGTTAATCAAATCATTTTAGGTTGTTTATTGTATGCGTTTACATTATACATGTATGTTTGTGCGAGTATTTGTTTGTGTGTTTGTAAGTATGTATGTGTGTGTGTGTAAAGAAATTTTGTTGAATTATGTAATTATGTTTTGGCGTGCTACTGTCTTCTTTATTATTCGCAACTTTGAATTCCATTTGTCGAAAGGATCGTTCTTTGTAAAGTTTGTTTGTTTGTATGTTTGTTTGTATCTATGTTTATTTGTATGTATCTGTGTTTGTTTTTATGTTTGTTTGTTTGTTTGTATCTATGTTTATTTGTATGTATCTGTGTTTGTTTTATCTATGTTTGTATCTGTGTTTGTTTGTATGTTTGTTTGTATCTATGTTTATTTGTATGTATCAGTGTTTGTTTTTATGTTTGTTTGTTTGTTTGTATCTATGTTTATTTGTATGTATCTGTGTTTGTTTGTATCTATGTTTGTATCTGTGTTTGTTTGTATGTTTGTTTGTATCTATGTTTATTTGTATGTATCTGTGTTTGTTTGTATCTATGTTTGTATCTGTGTTTGTTTGTATGTTTGTTTGTATCTATGTTTGTTTGTATGTATCTGTGTATATTTTCTTTTATGCTTGTTTACAAATACCTACGTTTTTTTAGTTTTGTGGATTGTAGGGTTTATTATTTCGTTCGTTCATTCACTCGTTTACTTCTTCATTCTCTCATTTTTTCATTCATTTACAGATTTAATCACTCTCTCAATCATTCATTCATCCATTCATTGATTAGATTAGCCTAGTTTAAAATTCATACGCCGCTAAACTAATCATCGGTTCAATGAACTGTGTGTGGTGTTATCATCATCATCATCATCATCATCATCATCATCATCATCATCATCATTATCATTAGTATTATCATTATAATTACTATCCATTATTATTATTATTATTATCCATTATTATTATTATTATTAATTGGATTAAAAAAAGACCCGTGAACAACAACCTATCAACACGTACGTGTGTACGTATGTATGCGTGTTAAGCTCTGCGTGTGTGGGTGCGTGTAACTATTTTTAAAACACAATTTTTTCGGCCAGTGATTTTATAGATAAGAGCACATTCATCCATCCAGAACATTAATACATACATACATGCATACATACATGCATACATGCATACATACATACATACATACATACATGCTACATACATGCATACATGCATACATACATACATACATACATACATACATACATACATACATGCCCTCCCCTCGATGGAATTCTTGCCAATATGCATCGAGGTTCTCGGCCCGATGGACCCCAGCACCCTTAAATTTCTTAGGAAATAGGCAAAAGGATCAGTGTCAGATCAGGTGACAGCAGGGAACTGTTTTTTGCAACCAACCACATTTCGTGCTTGTTGCAGCGGTTCCTGCGTGTCTGTGTGCTTGAAAATATCCAACTGAATGCCGACATGTGCAATTAACGACAAATCAAAGTGTTAATCCATGTGTTACTTGATGTTTGACGGTTCAGTGTCACTCATCATGTTTTGGTTTTAACATACATACATACATACATACATACATACATACATACATACATACATACATACATACATACATACATACATACATACATACATACATACATACATACATACATACATACAAACAAACATACATACATACAAACATACATAACGTGTGTATTTTTATCTGTTCTTCTTACGTTTTATTGATTAGCCCGCTGCTTATGAATTGGTTAATGTCAGTAATCAAATGTATGTTTTTACGTATGTGTGTGTGTTTGTGTATGTGTGTGTGTATGTATAATGGTATGTATATTTATATTTGGTCGATAGGTGTCAGATAGTAGAGTATATTTTCGCCTATTCAAGCAGATTGTGAATACTAATAAGAGCTGTTAATTCATAATTTAGTTAGAAGAAGCAAAAACAAACAAAAAACATACAAGTACACAGGAACATACAAATGCATCGATTCTACTAAGTAATTAAGCCATTCAGTAGTTTTAAAGGGGGCTATATAAATTTTTTTTAAATAAACATACAAACAAACATACACATGCACATATCCTTACCCATATATGCATGCATCCAACCATATGCCACACATAGATACATCCACACATACATCTACACATACATACACACACACGTACATACACACATAGATACACATACATAATACCATAAAGTAATCGTGAAACGTTTAGTTTGATCATACTACAGGTAGCAGTAAGGTGAATGTAAACATCAGTTAGTTTGTTGGGCTCTTCTATCTCTATATTCTATGTCCATGGTTGGTTTTAGAAGAATTTTTTATTATTAATTATAATTAATAATTTACTGTTGTTGTTGTTATTATTTGTATAAATTATAGTTATTATTGTTGTTATTATTATCAACATTAATATTTTTTTTTGATTTAATGAATTTTTTTTTCGCAACATCAGGTGACGTAAAACTGCAAAAAAATCTATTATAAAAATGTAAGTTGTGATTTACAATCAAATTAATAATAAAATTAAAATTACTACTACTATTACAGCTACTACCACTACTACTACTACTTCTACTACTACTACTACTACTACTACTTCTACTACTACCACTACTACTACTACTACTACTAATATTGCTTGTACTGTACCTGCAACTACTACTATTACAACAACTAATACTACTAAAACGACTACTAATACTGCTGCGACTACTACTACTACCACTTTCATATGTAACTACTGCAACTAATACAACTACTGTTACTTCAATTACTACTACCATTACTACTACTACTATTACTTCTACTACTACCACTACTTGTACTGCAGCTGCTACCGCTACTACTACTACTACTAGTAGTAGTACCACTACTTCTGCTGCTACTTCTACTGCGTCTGCTGCATCTGCCTACTTCGACAGTTCCACTCGCTACAACTACAAGTGATATTAATGAAGAGTAACGAAAATCGTCTCGTCATTATCTCTATCATCATATTATCATCGTCGTCGTCGTCATCATTTTAGTAACAATGTACTACACGCACACACACACACACACACACACGACACACGACACACACACACAGACACACAGATCAGTCTATATGTAACATTTTAGTTTGTTAAACAATGTGTGTTTGTTTATTTAATCAAACATCACTAAGCTCTCTCTTTAGGTAAAAATTTACATACACACACACACACACAAACATATATACACGCACACACACACACACACACACACACATACATGCAGACATACATACTGGCTGCATTTTGGCTGCTGATATAATAATGATGATGATCTAGGATGACGATGATGATGATGATGATCTAGGATGACGATGATGATGATGATAT